CTCAGCTCCATCTGTGCCCCCTGCACTCTGTTCCTCATGACTCGTGAATCCCGCTGTACACAGTCCTGCTGTATAAACCCCTTCTTCTTTCCATTCTCATGGCCAGCGCTAGATTAAGCCCCAAGGGTGTCTTCAATGCCAGTGTGGCCTCCTGACTGGCTCCCCTTGTCTAACCCTTCTCACCCATCTAACCACCAGCACCAGATTAACTAGCCCCAAACCCTCCTGTGCCATGGACGCCTCTGCTTTCAGACCTTCAGTTTCCCACTGCCCACAGGATGAACTCTAACTCAAGCCCAGGCCCCCTGGCCTGGTCCCAGGGAGCCTCTCCAGATTCATCTCCTGTCATTGGCCAACAAAGACCCACTGGGCTGCAGCCCCTCGCTGGCTCCCATATGGCACGCTCATACCCACCTCCCAGGGTTTGTTGTGCTGTCTTACCACCTGTGTCTCCCACTCTCCAGCCCCTCCACCCAGTATTCCTTCATCTACATTTTCATTAACCCAACTAAGGCTTTTTGAGGCTGACTGTGGGGGGTGCTATAATGCATAAGATCTTCCCCTGCTTGCGACGCCTCGCCCGTATAAACTCTACCATCTTAAGAAACCTATTTTTTCTTAAGTCTTCCCAGATCAAGCTCTCTGGGCTGGTCCAGCCCACACTGATCCTCTGATACTCATTTTCTTCTATCATCTTATACTTTGAATCATTTCATAAATTGGCTTTATTTCTCCCAGTCAGAGTGGAATATCCTTGAAAAAGGGAGATTTAAGTTTATTATCTCTCACTGCACATGGAGGTGCACCATACTGGTAATATGGAATGTTTTGGCCATTTTGACTAAATTCATATTGCCTAACACAATCTAGGGTTGACTTCCCTTAAATTAATCCTTAGGATTAAGAGGCCAATGCTTTGAAAGTCATACATTTCCAGCAAAGTTAATCCCTAAAGTAATTTTCAGTGTCACCGGAGTCCTTAGGTGGCAGTGCTGGCTGCCACATCCTTCTCACTTTCATTCCCTGTGTTGTCACCTAATGGTGGGTCCAGTCAGAATGGCCAAACCAGCTGTGCATACAGATGTAGTCTAAGTCTTCCCTGCTCAAAAGGACTTGCACTTTTCATTCTGTCTCAGGCAATCAACAATTCCAAGTCACACAAGACTCAATGCAAACCAGCGGACTGAAAACAAAGGCGAGAGAACTCCAACTTTGTTTGGAAAGTGGGAAGGCAACCAATGTAGAAATGGTTTCAAGAGAATGCCCGTTAGAGGCTACTGATGCTCAGGAAAAATGGATTTACGTATCAGCCTAAACAGAGAATTCCTAAAGGAAAACATTGGCATATATAGATATGCAAGTATTTGGGGTGTGTGTGTGTGTGTGTGTGTGTGTGGTGTGTGTGTGTAGGTCAAGTTCAAAGAAAATATATATAGTCCCATTAGCACAAAAAACTGAAAATATCTGTGTGAACCAATATTCAGTGGAGGCCGTATTATTGGTAACTTCACCAACTGAAAAGCTCTGTAAAAAGGAATTTTTATATACTCTAACTCAAAACTTCAATCTAGTAACAGGCATTGATTATAGTGACCACTAGTTGATGTTTTCCAGGTGGCATACCTTCTACTCTGGAAATCCTTTAAATGAATGGAACGCCTCTGGGGAAGGATCATTACACTTCACAACATCTCACAAGGCAACAACCCATCTCCCCTTAATCTACCCTTTGTTCTCTGACCCCCACAAAACAGAAACCACCCCAAATCAAAATAATAGAAATAGCAAATAACTTTTTAACCAGAGTGATTGATTTTGAAGTATCCCCTAGAATTCTTGCATAACTGTTTTTTAATTATTAATCACTTAAATAAGTCACTGCTGTAATAAATCACTCTTACCTTCTTCTGTCATATACTTGATCAGTTCTTCCTTAGTAAGAAACCCACATTTAGACTGATCTAATACCTAAGGGCAAAGAAAAGGTACATGTTATACTTTCTGTATGGCAAAGAAATTCTATGTGATGTATTTTTCACATAAATATATATATATATATAAAATCTGGAGCTTACATACCTCAAAAGCTCGAAGGAGGATATCTTCTGGAATTGGTCTGTATCTAATTATGCAATAAGAGGAGTAAATGCCACAGTATTTAGCTTCAGTCTCTACATAATAAATGATCACACAAAACAGGACATCAGCTGCTAACATGCTAGGATAGTAATACTTCTCTGAAACCTTTTTGGATTTCTAGATATGAATGTTGAAAGCACTCCACACCCACAGGAAATACTTAGCTCAAAATCACTGGCATATTTGATGTTACCTACTAGCTTTTTTCATCATTATGGAAATTAGTTTATCTAGAAACAAAATTTCTACAGTAAACCAACTACAATAAGCTAATGTTACACTTCCTCTAGAAAAATAATCAGGGTTAATTTTTATGTATTGTTGATAATTCAAAATAAAAAAATAATAGAGATGTTGATTCATGCTTTTTGTAGCTTTTTTCCCCTTTAATTACACTTTGCTTATTAGATTAATACTAAAGTGGTTGATATTTCTAAGCACATGCTAATTGGCAGTTCAAGGGTATAGTGAAAAATTAGAAGAAAGCAATCTAGGATAAATATTGGTTGAGTACAATATACAAAGTGAAAAAGCCAAGTATTTTGGAATTAATGTAATTCTGATCATTACTAACAATTGCATTTACTTCCCTACCTTCTTTCCTGTAGTATCTTGGTCATCACTGGAAGAAACTTCTCATATCGAATGTATCCAGTGGGTTCTTCTTCCTCTATCTAAACATTCAATAAAAAATAGCCATTTATTCATTCAATAAGTGTACTGAGCAACTACTTTTTCCAAGCTCTTTGCCAAGGGCTTGGGCATTTTCCCTGCTTATAGTTTATATTCCTGTAGTGGAAACATATATTGTCAAAAAACAACAAAGCTGAGTTTCTCCTTCTAACAATGAAATAAAGGAGCATGGGTCCATTACAACACAGACTGAAGGAACCTTTTCTAGGCTAGGAGACCATAAGAAAACCAGACTTGAGCTGATTTATAAAGGATGAGTAAAGGGCAATCAAAGACAGTGGGGAGGAGACTCCCAGACAGAGGAATCATGTGCATGAAGACTGGAGGCCGAAGGCAGGTGCAAAGGAGCAAGGAGGAGAACGTTTCAGATGAGGCAGGAGAGAGACAGGGACCAGACCTTGCTGGCCTTATCGCCCATGAAAGTGACTTTGGCTATTATCTAAAACCAATAGAAAATCACTGAAGGTCTCATAGATGTGTGTCTGAAAAATCACATCGGCTGTTGGGTAAGGTGGCTTCCACAGTAGTCTTATCAGATACAATACGGGCTTGGATTAGAGTGGTGGCCATGGAAGCAGAAATGGATGGTTTCACAAAATATTTAAGAAGTAAAATCAATAAGACCTGGTGCTGCATCTATTACGGGCAAGGATGAGAAAAAAGAGAGGAATCAAGGGCAACTCCCAGGATTCTGACTTGCCAAACAGGACGAAGTGATCTTTCCCTGAGGTAAGAAACACTGGGGAAGGGACCATAATAGGGACCAAACATTTTCTCAAGGACCAAAGTATATATCCAATCATTGTAATTTTTGCTAAACACCTAGATGGCCAATGGAACTTTGTTATCCCACCATTAATTAAGAGACTGCTACATCTGATAAAGAGAACTTTTGGTACCTAGCACTATTATGAATGAGAAAGACTCCTGCCCATAGGCCCAAATTTGATGGTGTGGCTGAACTATTGATTGTAACCTTCATGTCAGGCTATTTATGAGGAGCTGTAAATTTTCCACTCTCTTTCAAAGATCTTATTAAAAGGCTCATAGATCTCAATTCAACAGAGGTGCTTTCAGCAGATTTATTCTTCAAGCAAAAAATAAGAAATCTATAGGGCTAAGTGGAACACACTTTTTAACACAACTATTTTTTAACGTTTAAGTAGATTTTCACCTAGCATGAGTGGAGCCCTCAGACTCCTCTATCAGCAGAAAAAATCATCCAAGAACAGAATAATGTTTTAGAATTTCTGAGCCTGTCAATACATGGACAATTGTCTTTAGCTGCCTCTAGGTCCATGGCGAACCCAACCCCACGAGCCTCTTAAAAATAAAATATTGGTCTCATGAAATTACCTTTGGATGGGTAATTTTTAAATCAAAATGTCGAGCTTCCATTTGGATTACTCCAGAAACCTGGTTCAGAAGCTAGAGCAATGGTGTACTTCCCTCTCCCCCAACCCCAATAGACCACAGTAGAGCAGTCGCAACCTTAAAGATCAAAACTCTCTTTATTTTATTAGCATCCTCATCAATCTACAAACTGTATGTAGTTTTTCCAAAGAGATTGCATACTCTCCATCCTGTGAGAATTCACAGACACAGAACACGTGCCTCACAAAGCTCCCAAGGCTCCAGGGCAACTTCCAGGAGCCCTCGGTGCTCCGAACACTAAGGCGGGAACTCGGTGGGTCTTTCCGGCCTGGTGGAGTCATGCAGAGCAAAACTGCGTGAAAATCTTATTTGTGAGCAGATCTCCAACTGATCAGGGTAACAGAAGAGCCGTACATTTTGACTTTTTAAAAAGGGATAATGAATAAACAGAGGTCTTGTAGATAAAGTAAGAAGGAAAGTAAGTCCAGTTTAAATTTATGAAACTCTATGACCCAACACTGTCCTCTAGAGGCCACATCTGATCTGTTCTTTTGTATAAAAAGATGTATAAGCAATGGCATGAAAACTGTACAATTATATGATAATTCTAAATACGGCATTAATGAAATGTTTAATATATACCAGACACTACTTTATAAAGTTTTTAAATATTGAAGTAACCTTTTTATTTTACAATAGCTTAATTTACAGAGAGGTTGCAAAAATAGTACAGTTCCCATACGCCCTTGCCCAGCATCCCATTAACAACTAGAGACAATTCATTGTCACAACTAAGGAACCAATATCAACACATTCTTAGTCACTAAACTTCAGCTTCTTTTTGGATTCCCTTAATTTTTCTAAAAGGCATTTTTGAAGTATGGTATATTCCTCCACCATAAGAAAAACAAGAAGAGACATAAGAGAAACTAGTTCTGAGAATCTGCAAACAGGGGTGGGAGAGGAAGAATGGCAGCTCTGTTACTTCTGGTGCAGGACAAGCTAGTTAACCTTTTGAGGCCATTAAGTAAGCTAGAACAGGTGCTACTTCTGGAAATGTTACATGGTGATGGTTCAGTGATTATTTGAAATCCATGCATGATACTTTTAAGATTTAATGGAAATATATTAAATATTAAACCGTGATCTATAGTACACAGATATATAGAAATACGTGTAGCAAGTGTATACATACATGTACATGTACATACAGAGTGAGAGTGTGATGGGCTGAGCTGTGTCCTCCCAAAATTCTTATGTTGGCTTCCAAACCCCTAGTCACTCAGAATGTGATTTATTTGGAGAGAGGGTATTTGCAGAGGTATCAAGTTAAAGTGAGGTCATTAGGGTGGGCCCTAACTCAAAGTGACTAGTGTCTTTATAAAAAGGGGGAATTTAGACATACAGAAATGCATACAGGGGAACCCCATGTGAACACAAAGGCAGCCATCTACAAGCGAGGAGACAGGCCTGGAGCAGATCTTTCCCTTGCAGGGACAGATCTTTCCTATTGTAAAATAAAAAGGTTACTTCAATATTTAAAAACTTTTTATAAAATAGTATCTGGTATATATTAAACAGTTCACTAATGCTGTATTTAGAATTATCATACAATTGTACTGTTTTCAATTGTATCTGCCTAGGGAACAAGCAGACAACACCTTGATTTTGTACTTCTAACCTCCAAAACTGTGAGAAAATAAATTTCTGTTGTTTAAGCCATGTTTGTTCCAGCAGCTCTAGCAAATATATATATATATATAGCAATAGATATATAGCAAATATATATCCCATTTTAATCCAGACCTTGAATCACTATCATCAGGCATAAATCCCTACACCCATCAACTACAGAGAAAATGGTGCAGTGCAGACCTACTTTCTCCAGATTTTCTCAGTTAACTGACTTATAATGAAATGAATTCAAGAAAGATTCCCTAAATTACAGCAGACATGTTTGAGAAGACTAGGAATTCATTGCTATTTCTTAACAGTAAAGTTGTACTGGGAAAACCCACTCAACCTCTGTTTTGGTGTGGTTCTTTAAAAAAAAAAATAGCTGTTGTCTTTCTCATAGAAAAATATCACAATATAGTCACCATGTTAGACCAAGGATAGTTTAAATGGCTCTGATTAAAGTTCATCCCCTAGTGCTCCATCTGTAATACAGGGAAAACAGTAATAGCCACCTCCATGGTTGTTGTGAAGGTCACACGAGATAGGTCGTGAAGCACTTTCTCCCAACAGTGCCCACAGTTCTGGTTCTGTATTGTGCAGTAACACCTCCTCCTAAAAGAACTGATCTCTGGTGCTACAATTTCAGACACATCCTCCCTGAACCACTAGACGGATGAGCTGTTTGTAAGGAACTTGGTCCTGCCTCCTATCTGTAAAATGCTACATGGAGTGTGATGAGAAGGTATTAAATGGCTGGGTATCTCTAATGCCCAGGGCTAGGGGTGTGTGGATTGGCAGTGATGCCCCCACCTCTGCCATTGCTCCACATGCTTTCCAGCCCCAGAGGTGGATGCATGTAACAGCCAGCCACCAAATGTGTCTTGTCCCTTGTCTGCAAAAGACAAAAACAAATGTATCTTGTTACCACAAATGGGACTGGCTGAGTGTGTGCTGATCTCGTTTGTTTCATCTGAGAGGAAGCTAATGTGCTAGAAAGGAGGTAGCCAGGAAGTGGCCTTGGCGGCATTCACAGGTGCAAAGGCAATGAAACCTCTTTGCAGAAAGCTCCCCCAGCTTAGCCTCTCAAGATCCATTTATAGCAAATCCATCTTAATAGGGCACCAGCAGATGTTCACCTGCAAGGTCAAGGCCCTGATCCTCCCGGCATCACCTCCTCGGCAGAACTATGGTATGGCAGGCGACCTGAAGAGGACATTGTGCTCACTGCCTGCTTGGCAGGGCTACACTGTGCCTGCACACACTGCAGTTTCTGCCTCCTCCTCCCCAGTATGGAGAAGTCTTAATTAATAAATTAATACTGTGGGATTTTTAAAAGTCTCAAAGAATAGAGCAAATACCGTTTCTTCCTCTACTTTGGCAAAAATCAATTTTCTTAATTTTCTTTGCATCTGAGGAATTCGGGCACAAGGAGTTGAAGTACCCATCTTGGTCCTCAAAGTGGGTCAGGTGTCGGATGGGATCACAGTCCAGAATCCTTTACTCCCATTCCCACAGGGAAATCTCCAGGCCATCTCTTTCTTATTAAAGCAGTATTTATTTTAATGCTGAACTCACTGAATAGGCATGATGAAATACACAGTGAAAATTAATTTCTCCCCAGTCACACAGCTATCAGTCAATAAATTGAACTGTTTCATGCTTCACAAAAGCAAGATAGTATCAGCAGTTAAGATGGTTCATAAAGCATCCACATTTCAACTAGTTCCAGGTCACCAAATAAGATATACATTAAATGTTTTTAAACTATGTGTAGTAAAAAATATAAAAACCATGAAATAGTTCAAGTTAGACTTGAAATACCATATATATAAATTTTGAAAAATCATGTTTCAAAATGAAAATATAAATACAACTTAGAAAATATTTCTCTACCTTGGATAAGATTTTTTAAATATAACAAAAAATCACT